GCAAAAAGAAATTAAAAAAGATGATTAAGTTGGTAATTTGCATATATTTGTTCCTCGGCGGAGATTTGGCACGGAGATTACAATTTAGCTTTAGGGATGTTCGATAATTACAACCTTGAGTTTCACCAATAATGTTAATCAGATAATTTTAGTATTATAAGTCGAGTTTCAACACACTTTACGTTATTACTAATAAAACCGATTAGAAGTCACTAAATAAAGTTTACTCTTCACTCTTCTTCCTATCGCAAACCTATTAATCCAGGTAATTAAGTGGAACCGCATTGCTAGCTTTTAGAACCATGAAGGCTCGTCTATATTTAGTGCTTACGAAAATGTCAAATTCTCAATCAAGAACGAACTGTTATAAAGACCCTGGTTATCTTATTTACCAAAATCGAACGTGCTTTCTGATATAATTATTTGATTTAAAAAAAAGATCAACGAGGTTAAGACCTTCTTTCAAACATTAAACATTTATTGCATTCGTTCGGTTTAACAATCATTACTTTCACAAAGTTATAAAAAAAAATGTTTTTAATTTTAGGACTTAATTTTATAAATTACTTAATTGTAATTAACAAAAAAATTTCCGACTAATTCATATGGTGCTCATTAAAGATGATTATTGCAAACAAATAATGAATTTTATGAAGTCAACTTTTATTTCTTCATCTCCTAGGATGAATATTTCTTCATTAGAACGAATTTTTCCGAAACTCCACAAATATCAAAAAATTTTATTCTTATTTTTCGATTTATAAATCATTTCTCTCCACGATTCCGGTTAAAGATGATTATTAATAAGTGTCATGTAAAAAGGTCGAATAAAATCAATTTTCTAGCATCTCGTGTAATTTTTTATTTAAATGTATTTATATTTAACCCAATCATGAAAATGCTAATTGTAAGTGAGGAAGCTAAGTAAGAATACTAAAACAAGTGTGTGAAAATACTAAGAGTGTGATTTCATCCATTATTTTTACTTAAACATACACATTTAGATGTCTATCTTCAAACTTTCTCATAGGTATTTCACAATAAATCGATCTTTTTATGCGAAAACTCTGTTATGGAGACACAGACTACCGTTTCGTCGCTCTTTGGCGCAATCGCATATATTAAACGGTCATTAAAAGAAATAAAATAACGGTTTTCTCTAAAAAAAAATGATTCAATGCAATATTTAATTATAAAAAAATTTGTAAAGAAATATTTTAGGTACTTATTTAATTTATTTACTCACTTATTTTGATTTTATTAATACTTTTTTAAGTTTCAACTTTGTTTTGAGTTTTCGTCGAGATGATTACCACTTTAATAATATACATAATGAGACAAAATGAGATAAAAACGGGTATAAAGAAAAGTTGAGATGCGCATGGAAGCCGACGTACGTCAAACCAAATTCCGTTGGCCCGTTTTTAAGATGCCACCGGTCGCTCAGATGTTCAATTAGTTTCAAAATACATTGGCATTGTTAAGGCGAAGAGATTTTAATGTTGTAGAAGGCTAATTGGCGTCCATGGGATGCCGTTCTGTTATTACCGGCCGTCTTTTAAACGCGTTTCGCCGCCAAGTGATAAAATCTCAAATTCGTTGAGGTTCGTCGAATTAACGCATTGCGAAAATAGCGAGCCCCAAAGAAAACGATAAATTAACGATTACACCAACATGTCATGGATGCTGAGGCATATGGGTTTTCTCGATTTCAGATTAATCGAGGACGACTACTTCGTGACACTAAATTTAGTCGGTAAACAAGGCAGGTGATCGACAAAAATCCGTGTACGGAAAATGAAAGCTCAAAAAGGGTAATTTTCGTGCCCGAAAACTCACCAACCGCTTGCCAGATGTCGTGAAGACATAAGTCGAGTGAAATTTTCGCAAAATATATGTCCAGGGGCGGGTTGTATTTAAAAGTTTCTCGTAACGGTGTTTTAAGATTAATTACTTCTTATTCTTTCATGCACTGCAGGATGTTTTTTATGGTTTCGTATTGTTTGCATTCAACCTATAACCTGTATTGCTATCAAAAAAAAATATGGCCAATCTTTTTATTACACAATTTATTGCAACTTTTTTCTAGTAAACACAATAAATTAAAATTAAATTTTTATTAACTATAATATAATGTATCAACAGACAAGAGTTGCGTGAAATTTGCGGCCGGATTTCGAATCGGTGAACCCATAAAGAGACGACTAAGAGAGCTTCGATGGACCACAAAGTTTCATGCCAACCGCGCATAACTCAAAGATAATTGACTTAGATCAGATCTCGTTATCGCTAAGACTGTACTAGACCTTGCCCGAGTTACTTTTTACGCTTCCGTAGAAAGTATCTTTATAAAAAAATTTTTAAATAACGATGTCGAACAAGCGGGGATTCCTAGAACTTAATTTAACAGTACTTTCGACTAATAACTTATTAGCGACCCGTTGCGTTGAGGAGATTCTGTGTAATTTTGACACGCGCCTTCTTGGTTACCTAGAAACCCGTAACGAATCCTTAGAAAACCTCTAAACCATAAAAGATTAGAAATTTTAAAAATATTAACCTCGAATCCGTTTCTAATAAGAAACTTAATTTGTTTTTCATTTTTAGGTGTTTCAAAAGTATCATGGAAAAGTATCGAGGGGTTATCATAAGTTATATCTTCTTATATCCAGTTAATTTCCCAACGGAAGATATTGTGATAATAGATAATGCTGGAATTTATTATTTTTTAAGATTGATGATAATCATGAAGTAGTAATAATTTCGTAGATTATAAATTTGATAAGCAAGCATAAAGTTTTGCTGGAAAGCTTTATTATTTATTACACGATTATTGTTAATAAATAAATAAATTTAATTTTAATCCAAGGATAAAGTTTGAAATGTCGCGATCTTGATTTCAATAAAAAATAAATACAAAAAGTGTCTTTGAATAGTATTAACGCATACCTGGAATAACTATCTAAGCGTACTTATAAGGTTGTTATTAAGTGGGTGACATACACCTGCCAGAGTGAAATTAAAACGCACGACCACTCTTGGATACGAACAAAGTTCTCGGTAGTACCCAGCTAGAGTAATACACATCGGGTATGCAAACGATGTAAATGTCAATGTCAGCTTCAGCACGTTAGCGTTGCTTAAATACTGCACTCATTGTCGGTGAATATTACTGTACACTTGCAAGCTTACACCGTAAGCAGCTTACATTGCGTATCTCATAACTGGTACTTCTTGTATATCATGTTCACAATTATGAATGAACGAGATCTCATAATTCTAATATGTATATAAAATTTGTTTCAAAAATAAATTATTTTAGATGATGATGATTTAATGAAAGTCGGAGGAGTTAGTCAGGGAGATAATTTATAAACTGTTCCCTTAGAAAACCCATGTCTTGATATACAGGGAGTTTTTTCCATGTTTAGTATGGACATCTCGAAAACTAGCGGAGATAGAGAGACGATTAAGTAGGGAAAGAATTGCAGTGTCATGAACTCAATTTAATGAGCTTTTTGTTTTTTGGATGAAATGCATGGTTAACTTGATATCTCGAAAATACCGTTTTTTTGTTATATCGTTCGATACCTATGGCTCCGCTATTATTGATTTTAGGAAAAATGTGTACAGAAAAAATTTGTAGGGTATTAATAAAGCAATCTAATTGATTTTTTTATTTAAGCAATAATTTTTGAGTTATGACACAAAGTTGTAATTTTTCTAATGGAAACCATAGTTGGCCATAACTTTATAAAAAAAGGCCTTTTCTCAACGATTCAAATTCAAATTCAAATTTATTAATTATTAATATATTAATTATTAAATATTTATTATATATATTTATTATTTTTTTAATTTGGAACCTGTTCAGGTAGTATGCTATGGAAACAATTGATAGATACGTTTGCAAACGTTTCCATGATTTCGTACCGCTAGCTTATTAAGTGGTGGTGCCCCATCGTGTTGAAACCATTTAAGCAAATGACGTGTCTGCAGGAGCAATTCATCCAACATATTATCGAGCTCGTTCTGTAGAAAGTAAAGATAACAATCTCCGTTTAACGTATCATAAAAACCATACTTGCCCACATTATCAGCCTCTTTAAAATAGGTAGAGAAGGCTGGCGACGATCAAAATACTGTTCTTCAGCTTGTATTGCATTTTTATGGCATAAAATGTAACACTCAATGATATCACGCTTTTATTGATTAGAAAATTTCATATTGATTACAATTTACAAAACCTCAATGTTAATTAGAAACTAAACGAAACATACTTTTTTTTGGTTGCCTTAAGCTCAACATATTATAGTTACATATTACTATATTATATATATAGTTACGTGAGACACCCTGTATAGAGGCTTTTCATGGAGTTCCCGTCGTTCATTTACTGCCTAATATCTGCAATTTTGGTAATTTACAGTACCCGATTAGTGAAAGTGATGAGCCTCATCAGTCGTTGTCAGAATACAGTTTCAAACATCGTTATTGACTCTTACTTCACACCAACAATTTTATTTGAAAAAAATTTAAAGTCAGAATAAATTATTTGAAAATAACACATCATAAATGATTAAAATTTAAATTGTGTACATGTTTAAATAAATTTCAATGAATTTTAATTTTGCCACTGCATGTCTCCAGCATCTTTTCCGCTAGATTTTAATTATTGATAGAGGAGGACCGGTTAATATAATGACTGTGTCAACTCGGTGTGAATTCTAATTATACAAGTAACGGAGATAAGCCTACCGCGCGCTTTGACTGTGTCATTAGTGGTACTTAAATGTTACTTAATCTCTGTCGAAGACCCCGCTCGAATGAATTTTCTAATAGCCATCTTTACCGGAACAACACTGTCTAATCTCGCCCACTTATCCCCATACTCTTAAAGTATTAATTATTCGTTTATTATAATTCTGTGGGAGACATAAATTTTCTTTGAATAAACCGAGAGATGACGTTAATTTTCATCTTTTATTTTTTTATTTCAGATGTTGCCGCATCGCAGAAATAATAATATGGTAAGGATATTAATTTTAATAATTAATTTTTTTAAGGAAGGAAATGAGAATTTGTCATTTTTTAAGAATTAAATTTTTTCCCATATAAATTATTTATAAGTTTCTAAATAACTAATTATTTTGAGGCGGTATGCAGGATGCATGTGATACATCCATATTTTATGACTAACGTGTCATCCGTTGTAAAAGAAAAAATGTCATGGTCGTAGTTAAAAATGCGTCTCACTACTCAACAGAAAACAAACTTATTCCCCATCTATTGTAATTTCATTAATTAGCGATGCGTACGACAATAACTAATGGACGGCGTAGGACAATAAAATTTAATGAACGGTCGTAACTTTTAATTTCAAATCAGTCGCGATAATCCGCTATGTGACACGCTCACCTTAAAGGTTAAAAGTCTAAAAATACTTTATGACTTTTGTATTACGATCATCTATGTAACAGATTTTTATTATTAAGTTATTATCATTATGAAGTGGGTTAAAAATCATTTATTCATTTTTAAATTAATTTATGCGGTTTTTAATTGGAAATTACATAATTCGAAAATATGCGTCAATAATCTATAGTTACGTATAAATTATGGAAAGTTACAAAAGATGTAAATAGATACATTAAGTAGTGGAAAATTAATAAAAATATCAAATAGAACTTATCAATAATAATTTCCTCGAGAAATTTTCCGACTCAATTAAGATGTGTATTTGAAATTCAATTTATTACATTAATTATTCACTTCGGCTCAGTAATGAAAAGTAAAGTGATAATTATCGAATTAATTGCACGTCGTATAACGTTATTTTCGTATGAAATTTTGCACTGAATTGAATGAATGGTCAAGAAAGATTACGAGTCAACTTGTTAATGTGTCGCTGTAGGACCACGAAGTAGGTTCGACATTAAAATTCGAGAGACAAATGGAAAAAGCTTTTTCACTCGTTTGCCCATAGCAGGAGCACACTTCACCGTTCGACTGCTATTAACATAATTTATGGCAGCCATACACCCCGTGGTGTGGTAAAAATTCTTCAATTTCTTTACCAATCATGCTTTGCAATTTTTATTTTCTTTTTTTGTATTGTATTACTGTAAGCTGAATGAATAAAAGATAAATTCTATATATGTATATATACAAATTGTAGAAAACCGACAATTATTATGAAACTTTCTGAAATTGTTAAATAAAGTAACTACTTTTCCATAGAAGTATGCGTTTTGAAAAATCTCTTGTAATTCTAACATTTAAACATGACAATTTTGAAAAGGTTAATAAAGTGTCTGCTTTTCCATGAATTTTTAAAATTCATTCAATTTAAAATTGCAACATCGCCTCTGATGCTTCTCAACATTGTATTTGATGTATCTCATCGTTTCTTTGGCGCCACCTGGGTAGGCACTTCTCGTTCACAACTTTGTTCAGGGTTATGCCTAATAAGTCTTAAGATACAACCTCATTCTTCAAAAACCATCTCTATCCCTGCTCTTATACCAGAATTTCTAGCTGCTTTTAATATTGCCTCTGAGACGTCTTAACATCCGACGTGATATCTTTCAATCTCGTCGCAGACATTTCTCAATATCATCCCACTCGACGTTATCCATAGCATCCATCAATATCGTTCCAGACATCTTTCAATATTTGATTTGATATCTTTCAACATCAACTGATACATTTCAAAATATAAAAAATTGTCTTTTTCGTGATGAAAACAACAGAAAACTGAGGCCACAAACGGAATGATTACAAGAATTATCTATTAACGCCAAAAAAGTTTTAATGAAGTTGTTTTTTGTTTGTGTAATTAATAGATGTTTAAAGTGAAACTTTTAGTTGTATGATCAATATGTTCGGTATGTAAGATAATTTATGTGAATTTTCTTAGTAAACGTTTAAGTGGAAGTTGTGTTGCCGTTAGCAATCGAGTTAGCAAGAACGGAAAATGTAGCACGCACGTATCAACGTGTTCCTAACGCGGCAAATCTAAATTATGGCACACAGACGGCTTCGTGACTTTCGTTTTCCTTTAGCTTTTACTTGAAAACCATACCGAGAGTCTACAAATTTGCATATCTCCAGATCAACGTACCAAGAGCGGCGCGTATGAAACCAAGTTCGCATAATTTATTCGATGTCGGTTCGTCGAATATCAAGTGACCGCCGCGCCGGTCAGCAGGAAGAAAGGGGTTGCCCTTCCGTCCACTTCGAATTACTATAATTTCTTCTCAACGACCTATAACCGTAATGTACGAGTAGTTCGATCTTTTTCTCATCTCCGTACGGAAACGTTATCGGTCTCTTTTCGTGTGTCGAAGTTTTTCTCGCCATCTTGCCTCCTAAACTGGCCATTTTTACGATCGTCCGCGAACTGGGCAACGGTAAAAAGGAAATCGACTGTGTGATTAATATTATTATTGTTTTTATTGGTGTGTATACGACCACGAAACCAAATTTGTCGGCGCTAATTACGTTTCGCGCAAGAAAGTAATACGTGACGAATTGAAATTATTGTTTCGAACGCGTTTTCATTCTTCTTCATTCCTTATACGGAATGAACGACATTTCAACGTGTAGCGAAAGAGTTAAAAGATTATTATATTATAATAAACGATTCGATTCAATTAAATAATATATTTATCTTTTGCTTTCACTGCTAAATACTAATCATTTATGTGGTTATTAATTTATTTATTTTTAAAATAATTAACGTTAACTTACTTCCGCCTTCACCAACTTGGTGGAGGCAACGATCTATTCACGCGGCATCTCTTTGCCTCCACCATTGTTCTCTATAGGCAAGTCCCCCTATCGGCATCCCTATCATTGTCGCCATAATTGACATTTAGACTTCTCCGCTTTGCATAGCCATTTGAATATCAAAGGGTACCGTCCCGACAAAATGAAGAACACGCAATCGCGTGTTCCAACCAAGTCGAAGTTGCACAGTTTTATTAACCGGATCGTCATATTTGGTAAAGTCCAGATTGAGATTAAAATTGGAACGGCAAATTAAGCGTTTAACTTTGGTCAATGGGATTCGACACCCGTGCTGAACGGCATCATAAATTATGAAATTGGTCAAAAATGGAGCGTTAAATTTTCAAATTAAATTCGTATTAAAAAGATGATAGAAATCGAATTAAATAAAGAAGAATTGTATTTATGATTTTGGAAAGTGGTACTTTTCGAATGTGGCCGGTACTATTTAGTGGAAAATTTGTAGCTATTCATTTCCATTGCAAAGAGTAAACGGTTGGATCTAGAAAGCGGAATGCCGATCTTTTTCTCGATGCGGAGGCAGCATCGGACGCGGCATTTTTATCACGCTCTATTTACCAAAGACCCGACGTGTAAATATTACGGAATAATGCCCATTAGAAATTTATTAGACGGAGAAATTTTAATGGGTTTACTGACTGACTCAGGCCCAACATTTTTTTGCGAATTTCCAAACTATAATTTAGCACACAATCAAACAATAAACCACATCATCCAACCAACGAATAAAAAAGTTGCAAAAAATTTCATTTTACTTTATGTTAAACTTTATGGTTAACTCATATAGTAAAACCATAAACATTTCATTACTTCTAGGTCATTCAAGATGGACTTTTCTTATCCTTATTTGCAAGTTCAACAATTCCGCCAGCTCTATAAATCCCAACTAACGTGGTCGTACACTAATTTATTCTAATGTCAACGTATATACGCACATCCGTCCTGGCAATTTAAAATAATTCAACTCGCGGCCTCTTTCGGTAAGATCCTACCCATAAATAGTCCCGTTTTGAGTGAATAACAACCAGACCTCAGTGGTATATTGCAAGTCCCTCATATATAAGATCATAAAGCATACTCTAGCTATAAATTTTATAGTATAATAGTTGTAGTTTACAAGTTTTAAAGCCTGAAACCATCTTGAAATTGCAACGAGTGGGTTGTGTGGTACGAGCCAAACATCAGCGAATTGCCAATAATGCGTTCCCGCAAAGTATATGGTTTAACAACCCACATAGAAAGTGTTACATGTTGACGAGTAATTTATTTATTTCAATCCTCCGTTAAAAATAAATCATTTTGATGAGCACTATATTATAGATTTAATAAATCGCCAATAAACACATCTAACTGGTGCTATAACCACATTTTCCTTTGTATCGGAACATTACCTGTTCAAACAAGGAATACTATAAATTCGTTTAACAAGTTATTCTTGCTATTTTCACTTTAGGTAAAACAAGCACATAAAGAAAACTAGACGTGGGATTATCTGACGAGGTAAGAACTTTTACGGAGACCATACAATTCAATTATCCGCAATTGGAATCTGAAAGTGAATTATTGGACGTTGTAAAATCTGCTTCAAAAATGGTCAGATTGGAAATCCCAAGTAAAGACTTAATATAATCTCCCATAAGTGCGAAGAATTAGCTTTCGTATACCATCAATAACATGGGAGACTTAACGCGACACCATCACCTTACAGGAAAAGCGTTTATGTCTTGAATACTTTTTACATACTAAATAGTGGCTAAGATTCAAAAGATTCCTTTTGTTCTTGAATAGCTGGTTTTTATATTAAAAATATTAATTTTTTAAATATTTGTGTTTTATATATTTCAGGTTGGTACAAAAACTATATGGGATATATTCGTTTATAGAACATGATTAAAGAACATCTTTTGTCCCACACATTTTCTTCCATCCTCATTTATTCTTGAGTTATTAGTATTACTGGTTATCATATTAAAAATGTCAATTTTTGAAAGATTTGTCTTTTATATAACTCAGGTTGGTAGAATTGTTGTATAGGTTGTAATAATTTATGGCACATGATGTTAATGGTAATAAAAAACATTTTTTATCCCAAACATTCTCTTCCCTCTCTTTTTATTCCTAACTTATAACTAGTTTTTATTTTAAAACGTTAATTTTGGATGTATTTGTATTTTATGTAAGTGAGGTTGGTAGAATTGCTAATAAGATATAATCGCTA